CCCCCCCACCTCTAAACTGCATTCCCTTTCAACAAATTTAAATGATTTCCCTTGATTTATGATATAATACGTAATTGCCCTCCCAGGGGAAATTAATGAACAAGAAGACGAGACAATTCTTTGAATTTACCGGGGCTTTCCAAAAACCCGCCCAGGGCGATTAGACGGAAAATTCCATTTCATGAAACTCTTTTTTGGAACCAAATAACCGCCAGCCCGAATAAGTACCCATAGGCTATAATACAGAAGTAAAATATTTCACCATGTCTAGCGCGCGTATTGTGCATTCGGAATGACTCATCCCATATGGGGAGAGTCAAGCTTCAGTCCCAAATAGAGAAGAACTGAAAGACTGCACTTTAACTTTCAACCCCAAATAACCGCCCACTTTCTGAAAACCCCGGTATTCCTTTAACTGATCAACGACGATTGCATTCATGAATAACAACTGATTGTAATTCACAATGTACGTGACGACAACACCAAATTATAATAAATGATTGGCCTCCTATTAGGCCTCAAATCTATTGAAATCAGGCTCCCTAACCTGGTGGACCAAATTTAAATATACCTGCATGCAGAGTGCACTGATAGTGTGGAATTGGCCTAACCAAACCGCTTAATCATCGGCCATCTGTGGGCCCTATTTCCTTCTATCGTGCAACTTACGGACGATAAGCCCTTGCGCATTTACTTGTCCTAGTGATATGATGTAGCTTAATGGATACCTTTAAGGTGCTCTTTAACATTTGTTAATTACAGAATAAGGGGCATTTCTACTCATGCCAACAAAAGTACGTCGATGCATGTTAGAAATCAAGCTTTAATTGTGAACACCATTCAAATACATTGGTTAAACAAAGGGTGTTCGGAATTTCTACCGCCTACTTATTGACCAAGTTAGTTAATCTATTTAGTCTTCCAAATACCTAAATGTGCACCGGTGAAAATTTCGGTTCCTTTGTCTCATTTCTAGAAAACCACATAGCATCCACGTAAAAGTCATCTAATTTAATAGCCAATAGAATTTGAACAAAATCGTGCTGTCTTAACGAATTTAGTGGATTGCTTGAACAAGAACTAATTTCTAGAAATAGAAACCATTAATCAGTAGAATAGTTTCCGCGAACCACACCTCGTGCACACATCTTTGTGCACAGAAAAAATGTGAATATTTTATGAATCAAGTAAACTTGATCAATAGGACAATGCCAAAAAGCTCGTGGCTGAGGATTTCGAAGAAATAAATTAATATTTAGGGCACTACTTGGGGTAAAAATTTAAGTAGAGTTAGCAGACCTTCTAAAATCTCTTCTTAAATCGTGAACATATTGACGGTGTTTGCAGTGTGACGCAGTCACTAAATACTCTAAATTATGACAGAAACTTTGGCACTTTGCATGCTTGTATGATCTATTAAAGAAAAAAGTGGACCACTTTTACTAATCATAAGCAATTGAATGAAAGTCTGGCCGATTTTCATAAAGATTGCCGGGATAATTTAAGGAAGAGAAATTAAATCATTAAACCAGAGTGGCAGGATTTCGTGGTAAAGTCATTAGATTTAAAATTACGTTCATTGCTGAGAAAGGATCCCTTCCTGAGCGTCTAAATGTTCCAAAAAGTACTATAAACTGTGGTCGTAAATACAGGCCTTGTAAAGTATTTAATGAGATGCCCAAAGAATTGTACGACAAACAATTTCGTTTACCTGGCGAAGAAGTTCCATCCATCTCTGATCCATGCGGAGATATAATTCCACCAGATCTCGGAGCTTCCATTTTTTGCATTAGCGCATCCGTCAATGCATCTACTTCCGCTTCAGGATCTGTCGAAAGTGAAGTTGGACTGGTTACCGTCGGAGTAGTCTTTCTAGTTAATCCTCCAGTCCGATAACTGCTTGCTGGCTCGGGTCTAGAAAGACCACCACTGTAAGTGCCTCGGCTAGGGTAGTAAGTCGGTGAGTCGAGATGAACAACGGGGATCGAAACGCCACCCCCACCACTGCTTCCATGACGTCCATGTCCATAACCAGGAGTATCTGTTCCAGGCATCATTATATCAGCAGTTGGTCGATATCGGAAATCACTCGGGCCACCCAATGACGCTTGCATTGGGTATAATTCTGACACCTAAATAACAAAACACAGCTTTTTAAGCACAACCGATTAATACTCCGTACCTGACAAAACGGTAGTGGTTGAATAAAAATAACTTAAAAGTAACTGGATGATTATCGTCTGGCGAGCGTACACCCACCACCACCCAATCAGGCAACAAGCAATTACTCATCATCGCTTTAATTTGGAAGTCATGGATTCTCTAGGAACAACTATTCCTGCAGTGAAAAATATACAATCAAGCACTTCGACAATGCTATTCGCAAGATCATGTCATTTAAGACCCGCTGTTCTCAAAATAGTCGTAAAATGTGGAGTAATAATAAAGGAAGATCCTTCTCAAGTAGGATGAAGTAATGCGAAATTTTAACAGATTTTCATGACCAAAATAACACTTCCGAAGCTAAAATGATCAATTCTCTCAGATCTCTAAAACACTTTCATCAATTGCCTTTTCTAATAAACGTATATTGCAAAATGACTGCTCTTTCCTGGAAGATCAAGGTTTAGGCAGTGTTAATGTTATTACTTAAGTAGCAGTTCCATGAATTCATAGTGAAATATTGTGGCAAGTAGCTTAGTCAGCGCACAGTCAATTCAACCGTGTACTCTTAGGTTTGACAGGGTCGTTTAATTGCATTTAGCATACAATTATTATAAATGGATTATCATTTTAAGTATCGTGAACGTAAACTCATAGAGTCTAACCAAAAGAAACTGGTATTTTAATGAAATTCGAAATATAAGCCAAAAAAGCAATTTAAATCCCACACATTCATTCCCGACGAAGGACAACCTACATTTATAATTAACACGTTCTAACTTTATAAAATTAAGCCAAACACTTCTCTCTCTCTCTCTCCCTCTACATCGAGTTCTACAATTGATATCTTACTAATGAAAAAAATAGATTAAAGATTATCAATATTCTGACCTGTGCATAGTGAGGAGTTCTCTGAGCAGGTTTCACAGTGTGATGGTATTTTCTGTCATCAGTAGTCCTAGGACCGGCACGTTCATTAAAAGCACTGTTGAGGTACGTAGATCTTCTTCCGTAAAAGCGATCCGACATCAGGCCGTGCTGCTAGTGTTCTCTATGCCTCCGTTGCTTTTAGTGCGCCTTACTGCCTTAAGGCAACATCTATACGGTGCACTTAGTCGATAGGCCAATGCATTTGCGCTTTCAACCAATCATCACATCGGGTTGCACTACTGCACGTGCGTGCATGCTCCTGCACGCGTACTTAAAAGCACTAGATAGATCAATAGGATTTGGCAGACTGAGATTGGCTAGAGGCTTTTAGTTACTAGCACACTGAATTGAGGCGAGTTGTTGAGACGTCTTGGTTGAAATCTAGGTCAATTGTGCTGAATAATGAACCAATAATTTTGATCACACAACTACTGAAGTTAAATAGCGAGTAAACAGGCAACAGTATGGGGGGAGAACGCATGATTTCCCAGATGATTCGAGTTCTAGATTTAGACATCATTTTAGACAACAGAATTTTATCGCTTAATCATATGAAGGAACTTTTCAAAAATAATACTCAGGTAAGTAAACTGGCTCTTCTAATTAAATATTTCACCAGGTTCATACTGAAAAAACATCTATTCAAGCAAAGATACACTTTGGTGAAAGCTTTTAATAATATTTGAATATGAAATTAAGCTTGTTTATGACGCTAATTATAGCCAATGCGAAGGCTTCCTTACACAGCCAATAGCACTTCAGTAGCCAAACTCGTAAGTGAATATTGCACTAATTTGTGGACAGGCCTGTATTTTATAAAGCGCAACTTTTAACGCGTGGGAGGCGTGTCAATACTTGCAGAACAATTTTACCATTACATAAGGATATTGGTAAAAAGTACTATTCCTTCTAAAATATAAATTTTCGACTGGCGTTTTGTCAAAGGTGACATAATCCCAGTTTTAATTAACTTCTTGATTGAATGAACAGGAATTACGTCAATGACGTGTACAAATTACGGATGCCGTCCATTTCACGCAGTTTTAATTTGCTCGCCTAATTAACTCAGATAGTTTAAAAAATATAACTCTAAACCTTGCAATACTGTTTGGGTACTTCGTTTTTATCTCACTTAAAGGAGTCTGAATTTAGCAGTTAAACATTAAATCTGGGGGTGCGCGATAGACTTACCTCCACGTGGTACAACCTGGGCAACATATACTCATACGGCAAAAAGTCTATTAACCGGCAGTTGACTTCAGACTCCAAACTACCATCACCCCGCTGTATGCCAAATTCGACTACTTCAACCGTACTCACCTCACCTTTTTTCCAACTTTGTGTCTGTCTCTTTTACATCTTTGAAACACTCTTCTGTCCTCCC